GGTATGCTCTGTCTGTCACCAGGAGACGACGGGTGTCTCCTGGCAACACAGCATACTGTCTGAAACGGTGAGTACCATACTTTTTTTTACTGCAAATCTACAAATCTAACCATTCACCCGAGTTTGAACTACACTTAGTGCTCCAACTTGACCTGATCAAATTAATCCCAGTCCTCTAGGGTTAGTAAAAAATCATATCGAAATTGGAGGATGGACCACTGCCCTCACACAAAGAGATCATAATAACTGAGACAAGGCAATACTTCATGTTCAGCATGACCGAGGCCATCACCGTTGCTTGCATTTTCTTTAATACTGGTAGCTATCAATTCTTCACGTCGCATTAATTGCACATTTTGTATCCCAAGTACATGCACGTGTATGCACAGACAAATCTCCATATGCACTGTACATAGCCCACGGACGTATATAAAAAAACTGGACTTGCAATGCCTTTGTATGAAAAAGAAGCCAACCAGCGGCCATTTTACCGAGCCAAATACAAAAGCGTGGGTTGGCTCCCTTCTATTGACGTCAGGAAGAAAAAAGGCAGGCATTGCCAGGAAAGCTTTGTATTCGGCTCGGTAAAATGGCCGCGAGCGGATTCAATGACTCTATAAGCTGATTAAGGGCATTGCGAGTCAAGATTTTACTATTCACGTCCGTGACATAGCCCACTACCGGTAGCTGCTTCAAAGGCTTTGCGTGGTAGCCATCTTGCAGGGCAGTTCTTTTGTTCCTCAGGGAAGCCTCCTTTGTGCACACACTGTGGAACAAAAGAACTACCCTGCAAGATGGCGGCCAAGTAAACCCTCTATAGACCGATCAGGTAAGCCCCACCCACTGCCTACATTGGCACTTAACATGCTCAACTTAACACTGCACGTTCCATGCATGCACACAAGTGGGACTTCTGTGCATGCCATGTCGGACATAAATCACGGCTGTGATTGGTCAGAACACAATGGGATGAGGCTTAGCCTGTTAATAACCCTAACCCCCTAGGGTGTATGTAAAATCATATTGAAATTGAAGGATTTGGGACTGTTCCATGGATTGGTCTATTCCAAAAGCATGTTTTATGTATTGCGATACCTCTGTAGCACCATCTATGAGGGCTGGCAATCTCAAGGATTTGCTGACTGAGGGAGACGATGCTGGTATAACCCGCTGTGTGCTTACTCTGCTAGCAAAGAAACTAGCTGTACATGCATCTGCCCCAGTACATGTATGATCACATGTATGATCACATGTATGATCACATGTATGATCACATGTATGATCACATGTATGATCACATGTATGATCACATGTATGATCACATGTATGATCACATGATCCTTATAGTTACGGGATGCACATGTATGCATTTGCTTGGGAGAAAGAAATTCTACGTGTAACACATGGAACACACTACATGTATTTGGACAACATTCGATGACACTTCAGCCATACTGAAAACTGGCTGCCACCGGGAGTACAAGACAGGCATTTGAAGCAAGATATGGGACGGAGAGAAGCCCC